CAAAAATATTCTGATCAGCTGGTGACGGCTGAAAGAAAATAATTTGTTACTTTTGAGTGCACTTTAAAATAAAACCGTTGTCTTTTAAAAATACATTTTTAAGGAGTTAATTTCAGCCTGATGACGACCGCTTGCATTGCAATTGAAACGTCGTAGCTTTTTGTTATTTCTTTTTAACCTATCTACGTGACTTATGTAGTGCTTTTTTCAGAAGCTACCTCGCCACAAATGATAGCTCAACGAAGTGGTTTATCATGTAAAAGTTGAATCGTACGTTTCTGAATTTGGGGGGAAAACCCTAAGGACTCGGGAGAAAAATCCACGCGACCACGGGGAGAGAGACATGTAAACTCCAAATATACAGCAGGCGTCAGGGTCGGGATCAAACACACGGCCTCCTGATTACCAGGCGAGGTAGTTCACATGTCACCACCGCGGCGCCCACGTGTTAACCCAGACATGTTCATCCAGGAAAGCCTCGCTGAGTCTCAACTCTTCAGGAGGGTCCTGCCAAGTTGTCGTATTCAGGGGGCGATGACTGTTGTGTGTACAGGATTCCCTCGTTTATCACAAATTGCTGTCTGCATTTTCAGTCGCCCCGCGAATCACAACTGGAACTATACGACTGTATTTGTACTTTAATATTTCCATAATAGTTTTTTTTGGGTTAGATCGCGTAAATATATAAATGTGTCGTTAAAACCCGCCTCCACCCGACACGGCCAACTAGTAAGGGTTGTCACGTAAACATATCGTGCCAATTCGTCACTAGTACAGCACTAACCAGTGTGTTGGAGAGCCAAGCCACAACATTTACAGTACTCAGATTGTAGCGTGGTGCAGCTCGACTGCTCCGCTATCACCACAGACCCCCCCCCCCCCCCCCCGGCAAGTGATGAGAGCGAGCGCCTATGGAGACCAGCACTACGACCAGTCGCCTTCATCTCCCTGGTCGCGTTTTTTTTACAAACCACACCAGGTCATCGTTTGCGGCTGAGTCGACCCAGGGGGGGAGGCCCAGGCCGGTTCAAATAATCCGTCACCGATGTTGGTAGCAGTAAGCGGGAATCGAAATCAGATCGCCCGAGTTTGTAGCGCAGCGCGCTGACTGCTACACTACCGCTCCCTCGCAGTAGCGCCAACGAGGATCTCCCCGCACTCTCTCACTCGACGACATCGCCATACTTCACCATTTGCAGCCTCCGCTCCCTCCAGCGCCTCTCCCGCCTGTTCGCGCCGAGTGCGCGCTGACGTCACCCGCGTCGCGCGCTGCGTCACGTGAGCCGCGGCCATGTTTGTAAGGGCGGAGGGGGTGACGTCGTCAAAGTTACCTGGGCCTCCGCCACATTGGTAAGGGAGAATAATCTGAATACTCTTCTTGGTTCTTTCGGTAAAGTCACGTAGAAGGGAAGTAATAAAATAATAAAATTAAAACAATAAAATAGATGAATCCCTGCAGTCACGAAAGCTTTAAATCGAAATCTGAATACTGTATGCATTTATACTGGAGGAATCCGATGAGCTATAAAGCTATTTTTCTCACAGATGTCCAGTAGGGGGCGGGTAAGAACGTTACAAAAATAAACAATACAAAAACACGACAGTCGTGCAAAGTACAAGAAAGGTAAGCAAACCCCCCCCTCCCGGCCAGTCTACATAACAAAGGCTCAGTCCTTTGTTATGTAGACTAGCCGTAGTCTCAATCCGCACCTTACCATAATAATAATAAGTAAACCCGTAAAAACAAAGTTTTTCACTATAAATCCTTTATATGCGTGGCGGCTAGAGTCCTCTCGTCCTCTGGCTTGAGATGGCTGCCACCTATGGGTCAGATGATTGCATTGCACCATTAAGCAATTGGTAATTAAATATTTAATTTGTTTTCCCTAAACAGTGTAAAATTTTGGAATTTTTTTTCACGAACATTAATTGTCTCGCACAACGGGTCTGTGTGCAAAATGTCAGCTCGATTGGATCACGGGAAGTGGGTTAAAAAACGACCGAAAGATTTGCACGGTCGTAAGCAAGCACGCAAGCAAGCGAACTTAATATAAAGGATTTAAAAAGGGGGCCTGCCCTGCCCCCCCCCCCTCAACCAGTGTATATATACGGGGTAGTGTCTCTTGTAATCTCTCATTCACTTGATACAGCTAGTCGGGCCGTGACGGTTCCACCTGAAGACGGAGGCTTGTGTTGCCTCCGAAACGTCGTGATTTTTATTTTATTTTACTTTTATTAATTTAATTTTTTTACCTACGTGTCTTAAGAATATGAATACTTGCAGTCACGAAAGCTTCAAATCTAGAAGACTTACTGTACAAGTAAAACTAAAGCATCCCCATCCTACCAGGCAAAGCCCACTGATGTATTAACTTATTTTTCAGAAGCGACCTGGCCATCACAAATGATAAGCTCAACAAAGTGGTCCATCATTTGGACATTTATAGCAGCAAAATAACCTAAATAATCTAAATGCATGTTTATAAATGTGGAGGGAAACCCCGGAGGACTCGGAGAAAATAAATCCCCGCGACCACGGGAGAGACACACGAACACTGCAGATAGAGGCGGTGGCCAGGGTCGGGATGGAAGACCGGCCTCCTGCATGCCACAAGAAGGATAATGTTGGCCTTCGCGACCAACATTATCCACAAGAAGTGTGTTTTGAGTAATATCGCGTAAATATAAATGCGTCATTAAACACGCCACCAACTCAACAGTCAACTAGTAAGGTTTGTCACGTAAAACAATTCGTGACTTTACAATTGTGGCTTTACACTACTCTCAGACACGCAGCCGCTGTTGCTGAACCAGTAACGAATTGCCACCATAAGTTTACGTGACGAACCTCACTAATTTACTGCGTCGGATGGTGGCGGGTTTAGCGACACAATTATATTTACGCGATCTAACACAAAAAACTAACTTTTTGTGGCAAACAGTGAGTTGGCACAGTAAGGGGCATAGGCGGTGCATCGGGGCCGTCGTTTCAGTCGGTCCCGTGGCCTTTAAAAGTGCACGTAGCCTGGCACAGGCGCCGTGGTCGTGTCACACCGCCACTTGCTGTAAGGGATGAGGAATCACAATATGTATTTATACTGGAGGAATCCGATGGGCTATAAAGCTCCCTCTTCACATACACATTTTAATTATACTGCATATATACAAATAATATCACACTCAGTTAAACACATGGATACATAATTAAATTGCTCGCACACCATTGGCTCATGTAGATGTTCAGTACAGGACGGTTCAGAACAAAAAACACGATAGGAGTGCCAATTATAGGAATGGTAAACAAATCACGTAAAATATATACAAATACAACTAATGTTTAAAGTTGTGTCCAGCGATCAGACTAAACTAAAACTAAACTACTTTTAAACAAAGCATTTTTTTTATTTTATCAGGTAAGGCCCACTTAGTTATAAAGCATTTTTTCAGAAGCGTCCTGGCCACAAAAGATAACTGAAGTGGCTTATCCATGTGCAAATGTATACGGTCGTCGCCAAATACTCTAAACGCCTCGATGTTGATTCTAAATCTGGAGGGGAAACTCCAAATATCCAGCAGGGGTCAGGGTTGGTGCTTCCATTGAACCAACGCTGATGAAGAATATTTTCTCCGAAAGCAAATTTGTAGGTGATTTAATATATATATGCAGTACTAATCACATTCCTGCATTTCCCATAAATATGCTAAATTCCTTTTGATACGCAAATTCCTTTGTCAATGCGCCCAGCTTATATATATGCTCCAAGCTCGTGTGCTGTTTCATTCAGACTCTGTCGCCTCGACGGACCTGGTTTTCACCTGAGGACGGCTGCTTGCGTTGTGGCCGAAACGTCGTGAGAATTGTTTTATTATGTTTTATTTTTATTATTTTATTACTTCCCTTCTACGTGACTTTACCGAAAGAACCAAGAAGATTAATATATATACTTTAATTTTTTTCTACGGAGGGATGTGTATTTTATTCGGTCCACTTTTAATAGCAGGGCTAGGTATGCAATATACTCTCCTCACAAACGATAGCTCAACGAAGGGGCTTATCGTGGGAATCCACAGCAGTAAAATCATCTCGTCCAAGGCTCAGGTTCTACATGCATCGGCATCGTGGGTGATGTGTGAGGCGGTGGGAGCGGTGGTGCAATGGTTAGCGCGGAGTCCGAGTTCGACTCCCGCCCACGGCCACCAAACACCCAGTGACTGTGAGCAGAGCCGGGCCTGGACCTCCCCCCCCCCCTAAGGTCAACTCAGCCTCAAACGAGCGTGTAAACATTGCCACTGGGGGGGGGGGGGGGGTGCTTACCACCCTGCCCACCCCTCTTGTGCCGTTCTGGCACTTCACAGACGCTCGCTAACTGCACTTGCCCCAACAGTATGTTTGCTCCCTCTCTATGTATCTCTGTGATATCTGTCTGCTTATATGTCTGTCTATATGTTTCTGGTTCTGTGTTTAATCTCTCTCTCAAATTTAGCATTCTCAGGAAGAACGTAATCAACCAGATAGGGTGTTGACTGTTATGTTATCCGACTCTCTGTTGTAGTAGTGTATAGTGTAGTGTATAGTGTAGTGTATAGTGTAGTAGTGTATAGGTGGGGTGTTGACTGTTATGTTATCTGACTCTCTGTTGTAGTAGTGTATAGTGTTGTGTATTGTGTAGTGTATAGGGTAGTGTATAGTGTAATAGTGTAGTGTATAGTGTAGTGTAGTAGTGTATAGGTGGGGTGTTGACTGTTATGTTATCTGACTCTCTGTTGTATTACACTACATTTCTGAGTATACTAGATTTGTGTTTCTATTTAATGTATACCTGTTGATGATTTCTTGTGTTGCAATCGAAACGTCGTATGCTAGTATTTAATTTAATGTATTATTTTATCTTTATACGTGACTTTACCGAAAGAACCAAGGAATGACGTGGAGGCTACCCGAGTTGGGGGAATCTTTGCCTTTGGTGACGTCACTCGCAGACGGCCCCGCGCCATCTTACGTGGGGGTAAGATGGCCGCTCAGCGTTGAGAGAGCATGGAAGTCGTGCAGGAGGGAGGAGAGGAGGAGAACGCTGCATGGCGGACAAGGTGGAAGAGGTTTTACTTTGCGGACGAAGAGGAGAATGATGATGACGCCGCGCTGCTCGTTACAATCCCAGAGGTGAGCGGCGGCAGAGCAGGACGCGTGACATCACGGTGGCGGCGTGGTGAGTGCGAACGGCGGCGCCATCTTGCATGGGGGGGGGGGTGAGCGAGTTCCACTTTGGCGCTCGTCGTTGTTGTTTTACTGCGCGAGCGAGTCAAGTTGGTGGCCATCTCCCCCCCTCCCCTTCCCACATTACTGTGTGACGGGGATCTTGTTCATCCAGGGGCCTCTGCCACTTTTTGACATTGGTACAACTCCTTGGCGCACAAACTAAGTCGACCCACAACCTGGATGGTGGAATTGTTGGTGGGGAGCGGTGGTGCAACGGTTAGCGGCGCTTCGCCCCGAACCCGGCGACCGGAGTTCGATTCCCGCTTAGTTGCGATATCATTTGTGAGAAATACAGCTCAGTGGACCTTACCTAGTAAAAAAAATAGACTGTCCAATGTTCTCTTTAAGTTTCAAATGTGTCTTGCTTTCTCTTTAAGATCTCCTAAGGCAAGGGGACTTCCATGTGCATTGTGACCTGGATCACCATAATGACAGAAACAACAATCACGTACAGCAATGAAGCAAATATAAAAAGCTGCATTACGTATTAAAAAAAGCACTCCACGAACATAAATCAATGTTAAATTAAGATATGTCCTGGAATGAAAATTGGTTTCGAAAATTAAGCTTTAAAATTTCACCTTGACACTAAGTTACAGAAACATGCAAATCGATTATTGCACTCGTGATGTGTCCTTGATGTATCGTTCTGTCGTAGCCCAGTGCGCGATGACCCCACTCAAAGATACATAGGGATGTTATCATGGATATAAGCATGACTTTTAAGCCCCACATAAAACTGATGTGCAAAAAAAAAACAGGAATCGCTCTGCTACAGAAACTTGCAGGAATAATTTGGGGTGCCTGATGTTCTGCCAACTACCGCCCCTCTCACTGATCTACGCGGTGCCAGAGCATTGCACTCCAGCCTGGTCCGGGAGCTCTGGTACATCACTGCTGGACGCACAATTAAACAACACTGCGCGTAATAGCTGGGGACACTGAAATGACAGCAGTCCCCTGGGTCCCTGTTCTGGGTGCACATTATGCCACCAAATAGCCGCAGCAACATACAAACTGCAAGGGAGTATACGCATTTTATTGCCAACAACTACCTACCCATCAACCAAAAACACGACGTATACCAAATTCGACGTATTCCAAAGCGGTCGTATACCGAGGTATGACTATATCTAAATTGAGAGAAATAAAAAATAATTTTAACCGTTCAGATAGCTACAGATGTAGTGCTGCTTTCAAGTTAATCATGAAATACTACATTGTTTAAATGAATGCCTATACAGGTCACCATACTTCAATAGGGAGTACACACAAATGACAGGAGGTACAAGAATAATGGGCTTGCATAATGTGCATGCATAATCTACGTTGATTACCATATAAATAAGCCAACCAGCAATCGATACTGATTGTCATTTATGTGCATTAATGAATCCCCCCCACTTCGCTCAAGAAGTGCTCACAATTGATTCCATCATATCTACCCCTCTAAGGAACAAAACAGGATTTCTCCACAAATCTGGCTGTCGCCTGATGAAGCTAGTTATAAATAGTGGCAAAACGTCGTACTCAGATTGCAAATGTTGTGGCTTTGCTCTCCAACACACATTTTTTTACGAATTGGCATGTACTGTTTACGTGAAAAACCTTACTAATTTGGCTGTGTAGGGTGGTGGCAGGTTAAGTTACACATGTATATATATACACGATCTAACCACAAAAACCTGTATATTAGTTTAGAGTGTCAAAACCGTTGCAGATCCTGCTAGTTTTAATCAACACTGCTGAAATGATGCACTTCCAAAAAGGTAATGTGGCGCAAGTATATGTAATAAAAAAATACTTTCACTTTTCACGCGGAGCGACAGATATGAGAAGAACGGTTTTATTGTCTGCCGAGTTATACTGTGAACAGCAGCTCCAGGGAGGAGCAGGGCAGAGTAATTTTAGCCACTGGCTACTTGAGTCAAACCGCTAAGCCACATGTCGGCTGACCCGCTGCATTCACTTGGTGTGGCATAGCAGGCATAACGCTGGCAGCTTTGGGCCCAACATTGAGCCTTACTTAGATCTGGACGTATGCACGCACACATTGCAGTCGTTACGTAATCACGCTATGAGTGCACATCGCATATGTAAATATAATATTCATATCCACAGTAAAAACCCATTAATCTGCTTGGCATCGCAATCCCAGCTGAGCTGTCATGGAATGGCTGCGTTATTAAACTGGCTTAAGGGCCCCTTGATGAAGCAATTTTTTTTCCTTCTCAGTATCAAAGCGAATTTAACTTCAACAATTATTGCTGCCATACAAAACACACATTCGGCTGATAATGGAATGCATGTTTGTCATGTGAACCATATGACAGATTGGCAGGACCCCGGGGTCCCATATGACAGATTGGCAGGACCCCGGGGTCCCATATGCCCCCGGCTCTCGCATAAACATATTATAATGTAAACAAAAACTTTGCTCTTTTTAAATCCTTTATATTAAGTTCGCTTGCTTGCTTGCGTGCTTGCTTGCTTGCTTAGGACCGTGCAAATCTTTCGCTCGTTTTTTAACCCACTTCCCGTGATCCAATCGAGCTGACATTTTCCACACAGACTCGTTGTGCGAGACAATTAATGTTCGTGAAAAAAAAATTCAAAAATTTTACACTTTTTAGGCAAAAAAAAATTATTTTACATTTATTCAAATACAACTCATTTATGGCTTTGGCTGATCATCACAGTGTAGGAGCCCAGAGCGTAACCCCTCCACAGGCCGTGGCGGAGTAGCGCAGTTGGTAGCGCCCTCGCTTCCCATGCCAAAGGTCGCGGGATCGATCCCCGCGTCCTCCACAGGCGAATATATTTTTAAATCCTTTATATTAATATTAAGTTTGCTTGCTTGCTTAGGACCGTGCAAATCTTTCGCTCGTTTTTTAACCCACTTCCCGTGATCCAATCGAGCTGACATTTTCCACACAGACTCGTTGTGTGTGACAATAAATTTTCGTGACATTTTTTTTCCAAAATTTTACACTGTTTAGGGAAAACTAATTAAATATTTAATTACCAATTGCTTAATACTGGCAGACAATCATCTGACCCATAGGTGGCAGCCATCTCAAGCCAGAGGACGAGAAGACTCTAGCCGCCACGCATATAAAGGATTTATAGTGAAAAACTTTGTTTTTACGGGTTTACTTGTTTAAATCCTTTATATTAAGTTCGCTTGCTTGCATGCTTGCTTGCTTGCTTACGACCGTGCAAACCTTTCGGTCGTTTTTTAACCCACTTCCAGTGATCCAATCGAGCTGACATTTTGCACACAGACTCGTTGTGCGAGACAATTAATGTTCGTGAAAACAAATTTCTAAAATTTTACACTGTTTAGGGAAAACAAATTAAATATTTAATTACCAATTGTTTAATACTGCAGACAATCATCTGACCCATAGGTGGCAGCCATCTCAAGCCAGAGGACGAGAGGACTCTAGCCGCCACGCATATAAAGGATTTAGAGTGAAAACTTTGTTTTTACGGGTTATACTTATTACCATTGGGTTTGAAGGATGGTGGCAAGTGTTGTCTTGTTAAACTATGCCTTTAAAACTGAAAACTACTTACCTGCAGTACCTCTATTTAAATACACTATCGACAAAATAATTTACACCCCTCTGTCAATCATCGTGTTGCTCAGTGTGGATTTGTGAACACACTTTGTCAACAGTACATAAAATAGTACGCGTTTTCAATGCGCTGTTCATATTGTAACAAGCGTTTATACCAATATTACTCTACAGAGTAGTGGGTCGCCGCTCCTCTTATCCACATTGATACGAGCGGTATGTGCTAAAAAAACCTATCCGCACAGATGTATACGGACAAGAGAAGTATTACACTGGTCAACACACTTTTTCTGGCATAAGGTATTCCAACGGTTTTAAGGTAATTTTGGGGTGCTGATTCCAAATCTGGCATCAGTTATTGTCTACCACACAGGTTTTTGAGATATCAAATATTGCATTTTCAATAAAAACAGCAAATTTATGCTCGTATACGAATAGCTAAACAGACATCCATACAATAATTAGATAATATACAATAATAATGAAACAAACATTTAATGAGCCGTAGCACAAAGTTGTGAGAATGACTGCATATCAATGTGAGTGAATGCATATTACCATGTAAGAATTGAATTGTGAAGATAAGAAAAATATGTACAAAAAGGTCATTCACAATAGTGATGTTACATCTGCATAAACGACCTCTTCTTTGACGATCTCCGATGTACAGCTTGTGGAATGTCTCTCATCAAGGACCAGAAGTAATCTGTCATCAAGTTTGAGTCCCATCGGCCTTGGTAACGTTCTTCCATAACTTTAATGTCTTGATGAAAGCGTTCACCTTGCTCTTCGCTCACGTAACCCATGTTCTCTGGAAACTGGGCCAAGTGACTATGTAAGTAGTGAACCTTCATGCTCATTCTACATCCAAGTACTTGGAAACTCAAGAGCAGCTCCTCCACAATCTCTCGATAGTTGTCCGCTTTCCTGTTCCCAAGGAAATTCCGCACCACATCAGAGAATGCATTCCAAGCTCTAGCCTCTGCCGCAGTCATTTTTGTTACAAAGTGTGGATCCCTGATGAGTTTTCTTATTTGAGGGCCATCAAATATTCCTGCTTTTTTCTTCTCGGCACTGAGACTTGAAAAGGTTGAACATATATAGCTGAAGCAGTCTCCAGTGTGATCAAGAACTTTGACGAATTGCTTGATTAACCCAAGTTTTATGTGCAGTGGGGGAAATACAATTTTATTCCTATCAACCAGAGGTTCATTCTTGATGTTCTTGTCACCAGGCGTCAAACTGATTCTTGGTGGCCAGTTCTTTTTAACCCAGTGTTCTAATGTAGCCCTACTGTCCCAGTAGCACAGGAAACAAGAGTATTTG